GGGAGGAGGAGGGCGAGGACGACGGGGTGTGTGGTTATGTAGAGTGGATGGAGGTGTGGATGTGGATGTGGATGTGATGGAGTAGGGGGGGGGGAGACGGAGGGAGGGTCTTTGGGTTGGGTTGTTTTGATCTGTTTGTTTGTGTCGGGGCTGGTTGGCATGATATGATTTACGCACGGATGGGTAAGAATGGGGTCAGACGGGGAGGGGAGTTACGCTGGGTGTGGATTTTTATTGTTTACTTGCCATGGGTGGTTTTCCCCAGCGGGCGTTGAATAGGGCATTCATTGGATTACGGTCTGTACAGTAGGAAACAGAATGTACATGTTTCTTCTATTTGTCTACATGGTTCCCTGATTGCGAGTCGAGGTAGGGGATGGCTTGCGTCCGGTTTCCTTACACCCACCTCACGTCAAATAGGGCTCAACATCGCATATATATATCGTATTTTACCACTTCACTGGTCCCAAGCACATATGCTACGGCCATTGGAATGATAAGTCACTGGGGATATGGATAGTGAATTGGATCTACCTTGGTTGGTTGACGGTTCAGCCCAGCATATGAGGATTGATTCTATTATACGACGACTTAGAACTGCTGCAGGCCGGAAGATGAGCCTACGCGTCTAAACACATAGTCTCTCTTAATTAAGATCGGACGCCTGGTTCACCATCTTTACGGAGGTTGATTGCTAAGATGCCTTCTTGAAGGCCGATCCTGTTGCCTGGCTACAGTCTGCCGGATTACATCAAGTACTCGTGTTACTCTCACTCCGTTGTAGGTTGTTAGGTAGCGGTTGCTTGTGCGTACAGTGGTGTCGGGATGGCTACCACACTTGGCCAACCGGCCTGCGATCGATATTATGTTTACTGACCACTTGGTGCCGTCAGTCCCTACCTACCGCCAGTCTGGACTCCTGGACGAGATCATACGATATCAACACAGCCAGGGTCAACCGCCAAAGGGGCGACCTCCGTTTCAACCTTCTAGCTGGTCCCGGGCCAGGGGCCTAGTCGGAAGGCTATGTGGCGCTGGCATATGAAGGGCGCTTCGCTACAAGACACATCGCAGTGTAGGGAGTGTTCTCTTGAACCCCTAACAGTAGCCTCTTTGAGACACCTAGCACAGGCCCTCACCAGTGTTTCTGGATAAGCCGTACGTGGTTCAAAAGGGAGGGGCATCATGGCACTGTCACATGACGCTCAGGTATCCCTTTTTGCCAAATATTCGTGACAGGGCCGGCCGGGTATGGCGGCGGACAGACCAATCGACCGCCCGGACGTCCAAGGCCAAAGAAGGCCAGTCGACACAAGAGCAAGCAGGAAGCGCGGGGTGGTTCCGGAAGCCGTGACCAAAATAAGGCGAAGCCAGCCAGTCGGAGGCCGCGGCTAGGCTTGTGGCTCTGGTGGTGCACGAAAGCTCGAGCGAGGATGGCGCACAGGGTCTCGCGATCAGGCGATGCTCTTAGCCCGGCACGCTCGCCCGAGCCGGCGAGGGCTGCCGTGTCGAGTTTCACAACATGTCTGTGTCTTGTTTGGATATGCTTACAGCTCAAAGGAGTAATATGCCACATAGCTTCCTCGACATAAACGACGTCGATGCTCGGGGGGGGCGGGTGAGGCGTAGAGCTCGTGACCGAAGGGATCGCTTCATTTCTCTTTCCGAAAAGATGACCGGACTTGTGCCGAGGACTGAATATCGCTTCTCGGACGATTGGCTTGGGGGTCTCCAAAGGGGAGATGTCGCAGGAAGGCCGCATGGAAAGGTAGGGTGCCCAGAGGCTTGTGGCGGGGAAGACGGGGGTTCATGTGCAGGATTGTGTACGGCCTCTTGATCGACTGCAGGAAAACTGCACCTTGTCCCCCACAATGGGAGTCGAGGGTGGACCGTTAAGCTGCACTGTTACTTGCCGAGCCAAAGAGAGGACGAACCGGGGTTTCTAAACTGTCTTCCACGAAGCAAAGGGACGAGGTGTGACTGAGCTACCAGTCGCCAAGTGTCATGGGCAAGAATTCCTGTCCATCTTTTGAGCCAATGGAAACCCGGCCCTACTTCAATTGGAGCCGAACCCCTCTGGAGGCTGCTGCAGTTTATGTGGGATGAGTTCTCATCACAGTCGAAGCCGCCCGTCGAACGCTCCCATCTCGTGGTTCAAAATGGGCGATTAGAATTATGAGTTGAGAGAGCATTCTAATCCCGCGCAACTGCACAACATAACCATTAAAGTAGCCAAGAACGGCCTAAGCAAGTGGGTATCTCCCACAATGGCGGGATAAAAAAAGCCAAGATTAACCCGGGAGGACCCTTTGGTTTTTCTCGAAGGATAGAGGCGAAAGCGAAGGGGAGGGCGCGGGATGTGCATGTGGGGAAAAAAGTCAACAGGAAGCAGGCGGGGTCGGCAATTGGGCGAAAAAGGGAAAAAAAGCTGCTCCCGTGGTCTGCCTTTGCGTCTCGAGGTTTGATTGATCAAGTGCGAGCTGCAACCGACACGATCGTGGGTGTGATCTGCTGCTACTGTGCGTCGTTATAGTAATTGTGAGGTTGGGGCAACGCGATTGCATGCGAACGGGTGCTAGGCGCAGAGACCCCAAGGAACCAAGCACAGATTGCCTGACGACCAGAGCTTAAGCGGGACAACTTGGTGGGGCAAACCCACTCCCACCTCCCACACTTAACGGGCAAACTGCGACCTGCTGCTGAAGCGATTTGTGGTGACCGAGAGAAACGGAGCTCGATTCCATCATCATAAATGCTGGCGCTTGCTAGTTTTCACGGGAAGGGAGTGGGACAGCATAGTCAAGGTGTGGAGGCACAATCAGACCAGATAAGCACCTACCTACTTGTTTGTTTATCTATCAATATTTGAAACAAGGAAGGAAACCACTGGCCCCAAGCCAGGACCTCACCGAGGTTGTCGCATTGAATAGACCTTCTGTGCGGGTGTGTGTGTGACCTGGTGTTGGTTTCCACATTACCTGCAAGGCCGTTGTTGTCAGAACAGAAATTGATATGAACACTTAATATGCATGTATCTAAATCGCTTTTCACTTGAAATGGGCCGTGGATTCTACAAAAAGCAGTCATTCGACACGTGCCGAACTCAGTTTAAGCTTTCGCCGCTTCTTTGGGTTCCCAGTAGGTCAAAGCAGGTATCGCCCGCTATCACCCACTCGCCCTCTACCGGCTTTGCCCTACCAAACCGCAGCGACTTGACCCCTCTTTTTTTTTTTCTTTTTCACTTCCCGCCCTCTCTTTCCTTCCACCACAACCATTCCCCCGATGGTGAACTTAACCACCCCATCTCTCCCTCCCCAATTCCCCATCTTTTTTCCTCTTCTACACCCCACCTTCACACCCCTCAAGCTCCTCTCCTCAGCGCCCTTGCATCGGCTTCCACATCCCTCCGCCGCGCTGCGCTATCTCACATTCCATCTCTGGTCGGTCGCGCGCGTCTCCCGGAACCCCGCTTTATAGCTTGCAGGTTGTCACCAGCATTTGGACGCACCATCCACCCCAATTGGCCGTGTCCACCGCCTGCTGCAAAAGGTATGTGCCTTCTGCCCCGCCATCGGCCTCGTTGCCATGGCTCTCCGTTTCTCTTTCTGTATCTTGCACTGGCCTCTTTCTCCGCACAAATAAAATATTGCAGGCAGAAAGATCGTTGGAGCCTGGGTGGTACTTGCTATTGTTTTGCGAAGTCGCGACTTCATTTCTTTGTTCCGGCTCGGTGGCGCAACTCTTAAAGCGTCACTCTTCATCACCGAACAATCAAGCTAATCCTCCACGGCCTCAGCTACTACCATACCTTCTACCTTCAACACCTATCCCACACCACATCGAACCCGCAGACAACTCGTTTCGTTGCCTGCATCCTATTGACCAGTCAAGCTCCTATTGCAACACTCGTCACACAACCATAATGTCGGCACCGCAAGACGCAATCCCGCCCAATGGGTCTGATCTTCCTGAGGCCCTTGACCAGCTCAATCTCAACGACAATGAGCCACGCCTCGGCCCGGACGGAGAGCCGGCCCCAAAGACAGACGAAGAGTATGCCCAGACACAGCTGACTCTGCGCGCGATTGTCTCGTCAAAGGAGGCTGGCGTCATCATTGGGAAGGGCGGGAAGAACGTCGCCGACTTGCGCGACGAAACCGGCGTGAAGGCTGGCGTTAGCAAAGTCGTCCAAGGTGTTTACGACCGGGTCTTGACCATCACCGGCGGCTGCGAAGCCATCTCGAGAGCCTACGCCGTTGTTGCCCGCGCCCTGCTCGAGGGTGCTCCCACGATTGGCATGGGCGGAGTCGTCCAGAGCAATGGCACACACCGTATGGCCCAGTATTTCTAGTTATTTCCAAACACGCCGCTAACTGTTAGCACAGCGATTAAACTTCTTATCTCCCACAACCAGATGGGTACTATCATCGGTCGGCAAGGCCTGAAGATCAAGCACATCCAGGATGTGTCCGGCGTGCGCATGGTGGCACAAAAAGAGATGCTGCCGCAGTCAACCGAGCGGATAGTCGAGGTTCAGGGCACCCCCGAGGGCATCCAGCGCGCCATCTGGGAGATCTGCAAGTGCCTGGTGGACGATTGGCAGCGGGGTGCCGGCACCGTCTTGTACAACCCTGTCGTCCGGACTCAAGGTGCGGGCGCCGCACCAGGCGTTACCGGAACCACCAACTTCGTACAGGACAGAGCCCCGTACGGCGGCTCCCGTGTGACGCGGACAGGCAACGGCGCTGACTTTAGCAACGGCGGGCCCCGGCCTTATAACCGCCGTTCGGACTCTGACGCCGCCGCTCGTGGTCCGCCGACTCACGACGAGAATGGCGAGGAGATCCAAACGCAAAACATCAGTATCCCAGCCGACATGGTTGGGTGCATTATTGGCCGTGGCGGGTCCAAGATCAGCGAGATCCGCAAGACGTCAGGGGCCCGCATCTCCATTGCCAAGGTGAGTCAAAATAACCCCTAGCCTACTTCGGGTGTGTTCTGTCCTAACGAAGCGGTTCAGGCTCCTCATGACGAGACAGGCGAGCGGATGTTCACCATCATGGGCTCGGCTAAGGCCAACGAGAGGGCATTGTTTCTCCTCTACGAGAATCTCGAGGCGGAGAAGATGCGTCGACAACAGCAGGCTGCCCAGACCTCCGAGTAGAGTGCGGACGAGGGCAGACGGAACTATAGGCTGTAAGAAAACCGGACATGTTGTAACTGATGGAGTTGCGCGAGTGGGATCCTTAGCAGCTGCCCAGCCACGCCCTCCAGGGTTTTTGGCTTGGGTCGGATTTGGCAGCCCCTCGTCACGGGTCATTCACCAGATCTGGCTGCCGCAAGGCGTTATTATTCAATGGAGGGAACGATGCGACGACAATTCTCTTAACCTCAAAAAGTATTCCGCCAGATTCTTCTCTCTTCTTTTTCTTGGACCGATTCCGTTGCTCACCCTACCCTCCTTACTCGGCAACGAGCGGCCGGGCACCTCAACCTTGCCTGTGCGATGAACCGGGCAAAAGGTGCTTTTAGGCCGGCCAGGACAATGCGAACCCAGCATCGGGCGGAGGGTCAAAATCAGTACCCCTACTGCGGGCGTCTTCGTCAAACCCGCGGCTACCGTCTCACCGAAATCACTACCATAGTCCGCATCCGCTCTCTCCCTTGCTTAGTTCAAGGTATCCGCAAACCGTCTATTTTCACTCTCAACACTCATATTTCTCCGTCATGGGCGATTGGACTCCCCTAGCATTCTCGTACCAACCGTGGCCACCTCGTTATTCCGTCTCTAACTCAGCATCCAGAACTCCCAGTCTGGGTACAAGACTTGCGGTATGTTGTGCAGCCGCATGGCTAAGCCCATCGTTGGGTCGGGGCACGACCTTTCATCGACCATCAACCTAACATCAGCAGATCTTAAGGAAGATGTCTAGGGAGGGCATTTAGGTGGAGGCAAGGCAGACTAATATATGAGTACTCCGAGAACCAGGAATTTCCCTTGATGTACATCGTGGTGACTTGCTGTATGCGTGACATGCCGTTTTCTCGGGATTTGAACAGCAATCCCTCCTGCGGTGGGAGCCGTAATTGAAACGCATGATTTGAGAAACTCGGCTATACTATTCGCCCTGGCACCTACGAAGCGTGTGAGCAGCCCAATATGGTCGAGCTTACACATGGTAATAAGGTGATGCCTCGATAAGGTACATGCATTTCCTATCTGGGCTGCACCAGAGCCGGCATGACAACCCCACACGCCGGCGAAAAGCAGCCCTGGCGGCACGGAAGCCGCGAAGCGACCCGCTGAAACGGTCCGGCGGCTAGTTAGCGCGGCAGGGGGAGATGCAGAGAGATGGGGGGGATCGTGTGGGGAAACCTGGAAAGGCCAGCTCCGAAAAGCCAGGCTGGCCGAATGTGAGGGTCTATTTCCATGCACGCGACGGCTGAAACATTCATCCCACTTCGGCCACATATGTACTTCGAATCTCAAGACACTACTTCGTATCACCCACCCTCTTTTGGCCTTGTTTTTTTTTTTTTTTTCATCTCCCCCACCCATTGATGGCGAACCCTCCATGAGAAATAATTCCGTCGCTCCCTCATCCCATATATTTTTTACACAAAGTCGCGTTTGTTGAACCGTCAAGGTTCTTTCGCCCTTGGTCACATACACCCTTGCACTCAAACTCAAGCGCGATTCGCGATGGCTCGAACAAAGCAGGCTACGCCTCTCCGGCGAGAACCATCTTCTGAGTACTCTGGCAAACATGATCGTTTGCCACGAAGCAGAGAAGTCAGTGGAATTCATGAGATGGAGGGGAAACCCAGCGACATGGCCAATGGCCGGGAGACGGCGCCTCGCGCCGACGTCAAGACCCCCGTTGTCGCAAAGAAGGAGGCCGGCATCGTCACACTCATAATTGATGTCGCCGGTATCTACGCATCCTTGTGAGCCATTCTCCCGCCACCAACGTCGCCTTACAACCAATTCCGTTCCTAGCCGGCTAACAACTAGCCTACCCTCCCTCTCAGCTTAACATGGGCCTACCTCCAAGAAAAGCTCACCACCACCACCTACGGCCCGGCCTCCTCCCCAGAGCGCTTCAAGTTCCCCGTCTTCCTCCTCACCATACAATCCCTGTTCGCCTCCCTCGGTGGCAAGCTCTTCTCGATTATGACCACCCCGCGCGGACAACCAACGCCGCCGCTGATCCCCAACCGCGAGATCCTCTTCCCACTCCTGCTCGTCGCCTTCACTAACGCGCTCGCCGCGCCCTTCGGTTACGCCGCGCTCGCCCACATCGACTACATCACGTACATCCTCGCCAAGAGCTGCAAACTGCTGCCTGTCATGTTCCTGCACATCACCGTCTTCCGCAAGCGCTACCCGCTGTACAAGTACCTGGTCGTGGCAGCCGTGACGTGCGGCGTCGCCGTCTTCACACTCCACTCCGGCAGCCGCAAGCACAAAGCCTCCAGCCACAGCGGCCAGACCGCCTGGGGCATGCTGCTGCTGGCCGTCAACCTGCTCTTCGACGGCCTGACCAACAGCACCCAGGACTACATCTTCCAGAACTGGCGCGGCTACACGGGGCCGCAGATGATGGCCGCCAACAACCTGCTGGGGTCCGTCATCACGGGCGGCTACCTGGTGCTCAGCCCCTGGCTGGTGCAGACCGGGCTGGGCGAGTGGTTCGGCATGGACGTGACGGGCGGCGGCGCTGGTGAGCTGCAGGCTGCGCTGAGCTTTTTGGCGCGCCACCCGGCTGTGTGGAGGGACGTGCTGGGCTTTGCGCTGTGCGGCTGCGTCGGGCAGGTGTTTATCTGTGAGTTTCCCCCCCCCTTCCCCCTTTGCCCTTCTCCTCTAGCATCCCATCCAAAAGCAAACCCATGACTAACCCCTCTCCCCCAGTCCACACCCTCTCAACCTTCTCCTCGGTCCTGCTCGTCACGGTAACAGTCACGCGCAAGATGTTCACCATGATCCTCAGCGTGGTGGCCTTCGGCCACCGCCTCTCCCACATGCAGTGGCTCGGCGTCGGCCTGGTGTTTGGCGGCATCGGCGTCGAGGCGCAGATCGCGCGCCGCGAGAAGCTCGCCAAGGAGGCGGCCAAGAAGAAGGGGGGGAAGAGCCAATAACCCCAGCCAACGCATTGTTGTGTTGGTTGGTTAAGGGGGTGACGGGGTGGGGAGATAGAGATAAGATTGGGGATGGTCGTGGTGTATATATGGTGGTTTCGGTTCTGGTACATATATTTTTGGGGGTGGAGGTCGAATAGACTTGCATACACTACCTACTACAATAGTCAAGCCGGCTGGCTAAAATAGACTGGATGATCAACCACGTTGAGCTTGCAACATCATGGTTGGTGGGAAAGGTCCAGGGGCGAGGCCTCAGATCATTCACAAATGTAGAAGCATGCATGTATGT